TGAAAAGCGTGTTCATGCAAACATCGTCGGGTCTGCCGTGATATGTTTACAATGAGACTTCTGGTCCCGAACCTCTGCGCACAGCGTCTGCAAATCGGGGCTTTCATCTTTACGCAGGACTGTAAGCTGTCATCTGTGAGGCGTGAGCGGTGTTTGTTTGTAACATAGTTCACGGTGGAGAACAGCTGCTGACATAATGTGGATCCGAAGGTCCATAATTGGCCTACCTGGGGTTGAAAGTCTCGATAAATGCACGGCGTTTAGGCGGGTACACCGGCATCTACGAATGTGACGCTTATTTTGAGCGATGAAAAAATAATAAGATATAATTTTATTTTTACATTTCAAAATCACAATAATCTTCCAATTTAGAACTACAAGTTTAAAAAAAAAGAACTAAACACAAATAAAATGCACTTCAGCTAAATACTTCTAATCTATTTTCCCAAACCACCCGGAGCCGCAAAATAAAGACTAAAGAGCCGCATGCGGCTCCGGAGCCGCGGGTTGCCGACCCCTGAGCTAAGGTCACATTTATCCTGTTGTATAGAATTTTTACCTATGACCTTAAAGGAAATCTTTTAACAGAAATCCAAATGCATAAGCAATACATAAACTGAATTATAAAAGGTAACATCTTCTAGTTTCTGCTACTTTATTTGTTTAGCACATAGCTTCAGTGCAACATGTCCTTAGCACTTTCCTCATTAGCCCTTAAATCGTGATGCCAATGATAATATAGTCTTTCAAAAAGGGATAATGGAAATGTCATGAGATTCAGTTTTATTTAAAAAAGAAAAAAAAACTTCATTATTATAAGGTTACATGAAAGTCATCCTGACATTCATGGGGAACAAAAATGTCTGGAGGCAATTCACTTCCAATCGAGTGGACATCTGTTGAAAATAAAGCCTTTTGTTACGTGATTTACTTTTTGGTTGGTCACTCAAATTATCCCAAATTTCCCCAGGTAAGACCCCCAAATATCTAAATCATACTGTTATCTCCACTGCAGCAGCTGGCTTCAAGTGCCTTGCTTTATGGCACTTTGGTGACACTTGATGGTAGCTAGACTCTAATTAACCTCTTTCACACAAATGTTCTCGCTTGACCCAAGAACAAAACTTAAGATTATTTCTCCAACCTTTAGCTACCTTCACCCCAGCTGTCACTTGGGTTGAGACAACCCACGCCGCTCTGAAGTTCTTTAATTCCTCTCAGTCCCTGCTGCCCTTCATCAGCCTGCCAATATTACAGAAGGTCATCTGGATGGTCTCTGCGTTAATATCTAAGTTTTACTGGAGTTTTGTCCCACCCTATTCATTACCAAGCTCAAAGAAAACACTTCTCTGAACAATGAGGCCGCCACCAATAATATAATATCATTGCTTTGGCTTCACTGGGCCAAATGAAAGCTCTTTTCTTATGCTGTTAATGAAAGCAGATGATGACAAGAGTATGTGTTCGGCCCAGCTTGCTTCTTGCTCGTAGGCTGATGCAAGTTGACACGATGACAGTTTAACATCAAAACAGTGTGAAGAGATCAAGAGAGACACAACAACTCGAAGGTTTATTTTGAGTTTGTTTATAGGAGCACTAAAGGAGTTGCTCCTTCCAAAAGCAAATTCTCTTATCTTCCATAAGCCTCAGATCTATTGAACTGAGATATATTGGACAGGTTTTATTTTATACTAATTCCTCCCCTTTTTTTAACCAGCATATAAAGACTAAAGCTTTTATGGTTTTTCTACTTTGCAATGACAGCTGCTTTGTAATGTGAATCACACACCTCACACTGTATGTGTGCCAGTCTGACTCTCCACTCCTGTGTCAGCCTGCCTTTTTAGCCTGCATAGGACATAACCATGCTTACAGTATGTAGGTGGCGGTGTATTACATGACCAAAGGCAGTGACAGACTTGTGATCTCCCTCTCACAACAGGTAGCGCAAAAAAGCAGGCAGCCCCGTTCCTGATAAACATCCACTTTCGGGTCAACAACAGAAAGTCATTTAGCCTTCCTCCTCTAGTACAACGCCCCCGTTTTAGAGTCAGCCTGAGACCTGATCCCAAAGCTGAAAGGGGAGAGGAGAGATAAGCGCAGGAAAAGCTGGACACAAGGGAGGAACAGAAAAAGAGTGTAAAGCAAAGTGATGGCCTTTGGTACTTAAAGGCAGGGAGAAATGTCAGATGGACGGAGTGGGATCAAGTCGGATTGAAGAGAAACTCAAGTCCAAGAAAAATACAGAGGATGCCACTGCCCCTGCTGACCCTCCACCCAACCGCTAAAGGGAAAGTGCCTCGACAAACCGTTAACATGTTCCAGGTGGATTTTCCAAAGAGCTCTCAGTCATACATTACTGCTTCAGCAGGATATGTGGACACCAGCAAGCTAAAAGTAAGTGAGCTGAGCTCAGGCTGATTCCCATTAGACCTCAATCTTTGTAGCGCAAATGGATCTTGACATAGATACAGGGGGTTGGTGATGGGAAATAAAACCACCCTAAGGCAGAAGCTGAGACTGTAGAGCTTTGGGGTGTGAAAAAGAACCATGGTGCTGGAATTAATTGACTCTACTGGTAACATCCATCATCATGCTTCATAGCATTATCCAGAGAAATACAGAGTATCACTTAGTGTCACAAGTTTACTTCAAGGAGATCCACAGAGAACAGAGTCTTCCCCAAACTCTACCATTTTTGATTTTAATTATATGTACCTAGGTTTTAAGATTTCTGCCATTAACCCATCCTATAGGGGGCAGCTTAGTGAAAAGAAGTATTTAAAAGCAAAAGAAATAATAGCCCGAATAGTAAGGTACTTTTGAAGAGACGCTTCACCACCAAGTCTCAGAAAGGATTTGCAACATTTTTGTAGAACACACAAGACCCGTGTCTCCAGAGGAAACTGTGCAAAACCTAATAAATTGCCTTAAGCATCAGTTGTGACTGGAGACAACAAAACAGAGAATGAAAACAGTCTGGAGGGAATAAGAAAGAAGTGAGCTACCAGCCCTCCTGTAGCCTCCTCATCTCTGCTCGATGCTATATTAGCTACTACAAGCATAACAGAGCTGAATCTCTGACCTGTTAGCAAGAACACTTTAACTTGGTGAAGAAACTATGTTTCTTTGTTTCTCCTGAATGCATTTTACTCATTTCTTAAGCTAACAGTATGATGGTTTTGGAGGAATGCCATGCTATAAATTGCTTTACTGCTTTTTAAATAAAGCCATATCCATGTCACTCAGACCAAACATGAAGCCTCACATTACTTGCAAGGGTTTTTGGACCATTTTGCAATCCCCACATGTTCATGCCTAAACGCCAATGAGAGACTTTGTATTGAATTGTTCAAGTGTGGTCGGAATAAGACTCTTCAAAAAGAAGAAAAACTAGATGGTGCTGGGAAATTGATGAAGATGCAACCACTAGCTGGTGGTACAGTGGCATTTATTCATTGATTCAAGACTTTCGTAGCTTGTTAATGAGAAAGAAAAGCAATATTGTGATTGCTTCCCTTTTGTCAGAGGGGGTTAGACTCTCTAGGAATTCAACTGTGGCTTTTATAAAGGCTGTTGTGACCATTATCCCAATAAGTCCTCTGAATTTAAAGCTAGAACGTGTCATTTTTAACTCCCCTAGATCCTAATCAGTCCATTAAGGTCCATTCCGGTAACAGAAGTTCAGTACTGATCCCTTTAAGGCACAAACCACAAGGGTACAGCTAAGAAATCCCTGTCGAGCATATAATAGAGGCTCGTCATCCAGTAACTGAAGTAAATCTGTTTTCTGATCTGATGACCCAGTGACTATGGTAGGGCCCATTTAAACACCTAATTTTTCAAGTGCTGTCTGTGAATCAAAAACTGGAATTGCACATTTCTTGTGCTGCCAATGTTTTGTTGGATCATCCATCCACCTCAATCTCCTCCATCTGAGGACTGTCACTTCTCCTTTGCTTCCAAAAGAAAAGATTTTTAATTTATAACACCACTAGAGAACTTATCACTTGAAGAGGAGCATTTGTCATTTGGGGGCATTTGCTAAACCAGCTGATACTGATTGTTTTTCTCAGTTTGACAGCCTCTAGCACCCACAGCTCCACTCTGGACACTTGTCATTTTCTTCCCAAGAAATGCTCTTCAAACCCAAACAACAAAGTGTTTGGTTAGTACACATGATTTATAATGTTCAAATAGTAATTTACTCAAATCCAAATGGAAATATTCTAAAAATCTGAGTTACTTTATCTCCAATATTCAATTTTGAAAAGCAGTTTTAAACGCTCCCTTTTCAACAGGGCCAAAAATGTTAGCCGTAAGATAACGATTGTGTTAATTCCTATAATTCTTGTATTGTAAAGTTCTTTGTGTCCAAAGTTGCTTAAATGTCATCTGACCATCAGAAGATACGCAGCTGAGTAAATATATTGTAGAGAGTAGACTCCCATCAGGCTATTTACTCCCAAGTGTCTCCTTGGTCAGAGGGCATGTAGGGCCATTTGACTGATTACACGTCTGGGTCGGGGCTTTAAGTCAGGCCTCTTCAGTCTGCGGGAAACACCTTTAATCACATTAGATTGAAGTTGCCGCGTGTAGCATTTTAACCTCAATCACCAGCACATTAATTTGAACACATCAGCATAATTACCATAAACAAACAAGGCTCTCACCGAGCAGACTGTCACCTCTTATATATACTGTATTGTACTTTGTGTTGATGCTGATGCGGTGGAAAGCCTGCCAGAGTGCTGCATAGCTCAAATCATGAACACCCTGATTTTTGTAAACAATACCAACTTTTAATCCGTTTCAACTATTTCAACTGCATAATTTCAGTCTCACTTGTCAGAACACATATATGTTTTTTGGGGGGTGGCTTTGATCTCTAATCTTTTTGTAGCATTTCTGGCTATTTAAAAGAAAATATACCGATAGAATACAAACAGCCTTTTCTATGATGGGATGCAAATCTGGTTTTGAGGCAAAAATGTCAGAAAGAGTTATCGTTTGTTTCACAAATTTTATTATCAGTTGAAGAGCAACAAGATGGTAATCACAAAAAAGCCAAGTTCAAGGCTTCAGTAACAACAAAACCATCATGGCATCATCCTGGGAAACAACATTGCCTGTTATACAAGCTACAGCCTCAAGGGCTGAAAGACTGAGCCAAGGTAGAACTGTCGAGACTCTGCAGTCGCCCTGATGGACAATTGAGGCTGGCTCCAAAAGTGATTCGATCAATAAATTCACAAGCTTAGGCCTCAGTCACAGAGGCATACAGGCTGATCGGGGGCCTTAAGTGCTTCAGTCAGGTAAATATCAAGCTTACAGCCTCAGCATATATACATTTTTGCAAGTCATCCATTTGGAGTTTGTTTAGCCTTAAGATTAGGTGTGATAAGACAGGCAGCTGTAGCCCATAGCTGGCTGCTAGCCATCACGTTGGTTAATTTGAGTCTTTGAACTGGACCTGTATGCATAGGTTCAGTTTGGTCAGTGCAAGTCATTTATTTAACACTAGCACACTGCAAAAACTCAAAATCTTTTATCAATCTTTTAATCTTGAACCTATAAAATTTTCACTTGTTCCGTTGGCAGATTTTTTCACTTAATACAAGATATTTTTCCTTGAAATAAGTGAAAAAAATCTGCCAGTAGAAGAAGTGAAAATTTTCTAGTTTCAAGATTCACTGTCTTAAAACAAGTTCATATATCTTAATGAAATATTACTCTTTAGCTATTCTGACTAGAAATAAGACAAATATACTTGGTAAGATTTTGAGTTTTTGCAGCATTGCACACTATATGATTTCAGCTCACTAACCAACCTAGCATTACATGATAAATGTGCACTCCATTCTATCATGCAATTGCACTAAATGTAAGCAAAGAAACAAGAACCAATAACAACAAAAACCACATGGCTGCAATCATATGTTAAAGTCTACGCTAACAATAAGCCATGGGTCACTAAAAGCGTCAAATCCTGTTTAAGGAAAAAGAGACAGGCCTTTAAAGAGGGGGCTGTTACTGATTTTCAGACAGCCACCAAGGAACTGAAAATCGAGATCTTGAAGGCAAAACAGAGCTACAAAAACCTTCTTGAAAGCAAATTTGCTGCAAAAAATTTTGGGTCTGCCTGGACTTGTATGAAAACCATAGCAGGGTTTCAAAATCCCCAGAGCAGCAGTCAGATCATTTTAGATGGTTTTAATTCAGACAGAGATTTTGCAAACGCTTTAAATATGTTTTATGCTCGTTTTAGTTCTTCTGATTTTAGCGAGGATATTTTGGAACTGAAACAGAAACTGAGAGATACTCAGCACTTTATCATTGAACTCCGTGATGTCAAAAAGGCCTTTCATACAGTCAATGTGAACAAGAGCCAGGGTCCTGATAATATTAGTGGCCGCCTAATTAAATCTTGTGCTGACGAACTTAGTCCTATATTTCAGGTTATTTTTAATAAATCCTTGCAAACACAACATGTGCCCTCTCTTTGGAAAGAAGCAGTCGTGGTTTCTGTCCCTAAATCTAGTCGTCCAAAAATTCTAAATGACTTCAGGCCTGTTGCCCTCACTTCAGTTGTAATGAAAGTCTTTGAAAAAATCATCAGAAATGTGATTATGAAAGAGACTGAACATCATCTGGATCCAATGCAGTTTGCATATAGGCCCAACAGAGGAGTGGAGGACGCAGTTTTGATTTTATTAAATCTGATTCTTAAACATGTAGAGAGTAAAGGGACTTTTGCAAGACTTCTTTTCATTGATTTTTCTTCGGCTTTTAATACAATACAGCCCCATATTTAATTAAAAGACTTTTAGAACAGTTTGAAATCAGGAAAAACCTGGTGGGCTGGATTTTAGATTTTTTAACTGACAGGTCACAAAGAGTGAGAATAAATGGGATTCTGTCTGACCCAGTGTTCTCCTCCACAGGTTCTCCTCAAGGGTGCGTCTTATCGCCCTTATTGTTCATTCTCTATACAAACATGTGTCAGAGCAGATATGAAAACAGGGTCATTATTAAATATGCAGATGACTCTGTTATTGTCAGCTTACTGAAAGAGGGTGAAACTAACCACGGTCCA